ACACACACACATGTTTGAGAAAGTAAACAGTAATCCCTGTGACCAAATAGTGAATGTCAAACCCCTTCTTCAACCCTGTATTTCCTGAATATTACATCTGAATACCTTTTAAATTGGTGTATGTTTGGACATCGCTTGAGCTCCACATTTAAACTGCTCCATGAATTCACTCCACATACTAAAAAACAAAAACTCCCCCCTCCCCCTGCTTTATGTTGCGGTCGGACATGGATTTCTGTTGGAGAACTGAAGCAGTTCTGTTGCTCTCCTCAGAGCCAGACTCCATTGAGAAAAACAGTGATTTAACATCGCTGATCACAGGAGCTGCTGGTCTACTGCTGCCTCCATCAGTTTGTTTGTTTGTGTTACTGTGTGATTTTGGTGTTTAAATGGGTAAGTTTGAATTTACCAAAGTCATAATAACACAGACTAACTTACTTATTGAGGCCGTGGTAGATCAGCAGCTCCTGTGATCAGCTATATTAAATCAGTGTTTTTCTCAGTGGAGTCTGGTGGCTTTGGTAAGAGCATAGAAGCAAAACTAAAGCCATTAACTGCTTCCATCCGAACAGGCCATCTGACATTGAGGCAAAGCAGTGAAAATATTCCAAATAAAACACACACTTAACTGATATAGATTTTGTTTCAGGTGGGACTTTTTTTAGGTGGCTAAATTACGTTTTGTTGCTGCCGTCATGCACAGCAGTACACTGCTTAGCTTAAGTTGCGGTTCTCCTGCTGCTTCTCCAAACTGAGTGCCTGATATTTTACTCAGGAGTTTGTGGCAACCAAAAAAAGAGGCCAAAAAATTAAAAAAAAATTTAAACAGTCACGCATGTTTTAGACATCAAGCCCCATCACTCCTTCTACAATAATAACTGCTAACATTTTCTCCTTCAGCTGCTGGACAACAGGAATGCAAAAGAGCTCAACATCCACTGGTTGAGATCCCAGATAGGCATCGTATCCCAGGAGCCCGTGCTGTTCGACTGCACCTTGGCCGAAAACATCGCCTACGGAGACAACAGTCGCACCGTGACCAAGGAGGAGATAGAGGAGGCTGCTAGAGCGGCCAACATTCACAAATTCATCGACGACCTGCCACAGGTAACTGCTGTGATGTGTCAGTCATGACATAGGTGGAAATAAAAGAGCAGTGTGATGATTTATATCGATCAGTTATAATCTTTACAACATCTCAAGGCCCTCACTGAGACAGTCGGGATATAATGTCTGTCAGTGTGCCAAGGATTATACAACAGCAAGCAATACAACTCACGTCAAGGTTATTTAATCATACGAGTCAAGGACTGGGCACCCAAATTACACTTAAATTATTCAGTGTTTTCCCTTAAGTGATGACTCGTCTTTTACCTCTAGTGGTGTTGAGTCTTTTATCTTAAGTGGAAACTAGTGTTTTACCTCTAGTGGTGTCGAGTCTTTTACCTTAGTGGAAACTAGTGTTTTACCTCTAGTGGTGTCGAGTCTTTTTCCGTAAGTGGTGTCGAGTCTTTTACCTTAAGTGGAAACTAGTGTTTTACCTCTAGTGGTGTCAAGTCTTTTACCTAAAGTGATGTCTAGTCTTTTACCTCTAGTGGTGTCGAGTCTTTTTCCTTAAGTGGTGTCTAGTCTTTTACCTTAAGTGGAAACTAGTGTTTTACCTCTAGTGGTGTTGAGTCTTTTCCCTTAAGTGATGTCTAGTCTTTTACCTCCAGTGGTGTCTAGTCTTTTACGTTAAATGGTGTCTAGTCTTTTACCTTAAGTGGAAACTAGTGTTTTACCTCTATTGGTTTTTAGTCTTTTACCCCTAGTGGTGACTAGTCTTTTACCTTAAGTGGTGTCTAGTCTTTTACCTCTAGTAGTATCTAGTCTTTTACTTAGTTTTGTCAAGTATTTTACCTTTAATGGTGTCTAGTCTTTTACCTCTGGTGGTGTGTAGTCTTTTACCTAAGTGATGTTAAGTCTTTTACCTTAAATGATGTTTAGTCTTTTACCTTAAGTGGTTTCTAGTCTTTTACCTCTAGTAGAGTCTAGTCTTTTATATCTAGTGGTATCTAGTCTCTTAGCTTATGTGATCTATGTTATGTTATGTTATCTAGTGTTTTAACTGTAGTGGATTGTGTTCCTTTTACCTTTAGTCATGTCAAGTTTTTTTTTTTTTTTTTTTTTTTTGTTACCTCTTGTGGTGTCGAGCCTTTTATCTTAAGTGATGTCTAGTGTTTTACCTCCTGTGGTAAGTAGTTTGGGCTATATTTGCCCAAGAGGAAGTGTCCCTGGTTCTTCATTTTATGGATCCATAATTTCTTTATAATTTCCTGGGTAGGTAAAGGTAAACTAATGTACACACAGTGTTCAAATCAGTACATTTCTTTATTGAGAGAATACTCTATTCAGCTGAACATGCAAAAAATGTGAAATAAGTGTAAAAGTATATGGAAAGTAAACTTTCCAATAATTAATAAATAATCTATGATATGTTACTTTAGATTAAATGTTGCAGTTCTTCCAAGAAACTCTCAGTCATCAACTGCTTATGAACTAAACTAAACAAATCCCAACTAACATATAGTCTCAGACCTGTCTCTGTATTACCATTGTAATTAGTACCAATTTTATGTTTCTTTCTAGGAAACTACTGACTCATAAAATAAAGTGTTGCCACACCATTTCTTCAGTACAAAGTATTTACAATGAAAACTGGATTACAGGATGCTTCTGTCATGACTTTGGCCACTTCCTCTCTCCCTCTGTTTGTATGAGCAGAAATACGACACTCAGGCAGGTGACAAAGGAGAACAGCTGTCAGGTGGCCAGAAGCAGCGTATAGCCATAGCCCGAGCCATTCTCCGAAACCCCACAGTGTTGCTCCTGGATGAGGCCACATCCGCGCTCGACACTGAGAGTGAGAAGGTAAGTGTTAGGTGTGGGAGGGCTAAACCAAAGATGTTTTAGGACCAAAGGAACTTTTTCATAGTTCTAAAAACCCATCTTTTTGTTGTGTCTTAACTAGGAATGATCTTAGTTCTTAGAACGCTGTTTTTAAGGGACTTTTTAGCTCCTATTTCAGAGGAAGTGCTCCTCCAGCACAAGAGGAACCATCTGTGCATTCCAATACCCATACTACCATTCTATTTAGTGTGCCAGAAATAGATTTAGTATGTCCCAATGTATGTCAAATGCATTATGCCAAAAAAAAACAGGATGTTCTACTACATGCGGTCAAATTTTGTAATATGCAAGCCAGCATGCTTTACTGGCTATTCTGACCCACAATCCTCCGCACAGTGGAAGATGATGGATGACAGCACAGTCAAGCACATTAGTGGTTTAAATGAACAAAATAATCATAAAGATAATATGTCCCGACCCCGTACATACTGCATGCAACAGTACATACTTTTCAAGGGCAGCTGTATTAATTTGTGTGGAAATATCAGTTAACAAAAAAACTAATCTCAAATGTACCAAGTGGAAAATAACCTTCACAACGGTTTTAAAAGAAAGCATTTCATTGTTTGCTGTTGAAGGAATTTTACCTTAAGGGCTTTCTGCCAAAAAACTTTTCTCTGGTAGGTAGGTTTGGGAAAAAAGATCATGGTTTGGGTTAAATGAGGAGATATCTGGCAGAAAGCCCTGAGGGCAAACTTCCACGTGCTGACCTGTGGGCCCTCATGAGCTTTTATTTGATGATTATATGTAAACAACTGCTGTATTTGCTGTTTAACCGGTTAACTCAAACAACCTAATGTTCAGACACTACACTCCTTGCAGTTCAATTGATATGGACCATTTTATGATACAACCACCACAGCAGGTTCAATAAACGTGACTGTCAGACAAAAAACAAACAGTTTCAACTCACCTATGAAGCATTGTTGTAATCCACAGATTGATATTATCCCAACAGAAATGGTCATCATAAAAGTCTTCATACATTCCCAATAGTCCAGATGATCTAAATCCAAATTTCTCCACATAATTTCTTCAGTTTGCGTGGACTCCTCTGTATAAAAATGGTGGCTGAACTCTGACCTTTTGATTGACACCTTACTTGAGCCAATGGGAGCTTCCAGTTGCTATGGCATCAGTAGCCAACATGGGCATGTGTTGTAGAAAGAGCCTCCCTTACTTAATTTGGCATCATAGCCAATCAATAGCCAGTGATTGTCCCAATGGCTTATGGGTCTTATAGTCAATGAAACTCCTGACCTCCACAAGAGGTTTAAACTCCCTCTGGGCAACAGAGACTGTCATACATGTACAGAGATGATAAACAAATCGCTTCTCTGTTGTCTTGGGGTAAAAACCAGTCTGTCTTACCAATTTAGGAGTGCTTCATGTAGTCAAACTCTTAAATTAAAGTTAACCTAATCAGTATTAATGCAGTATGTACTCTCAGATTTTAATTAGTGTCAGAGCAGTGCTGCAGCGTCTTTAGTATCACCATGTATATATGACACAGGAAAACAAATATGAACAGGGAGAGGTACAAACCAACAGAGGAAGATGTAACAAGCTGCACCTTTCACCAGATGTTTTATATACGTTCATGTGAGGTCATTCTGCTCTTTCCAGGTGGTGCAGGAGGCGTTGGACCAGGCCAGTAAAGGCAGGACGTGCATCATCGTAGCCCACCGTCTGTCCACCATCCAAAACGCAGACCGCATCGCCGTCTTCCAGGGCGGAGTGGTGGTCGAACAGGGGACACATCAGCAGCTGCTGGCCCAGAGGGGAGTTTACCACATGCTGGTCACCACACAGATGGGCCACGGGAAGGAATAAGAGGACACAGGGAGCTATACTACACAGATTGTTTTTTATCTTAATGTTTCCAAAGATATTTATGTTTCCCTGCCCAGCTTCAGTGGAACTGTTGGATGTGTATGAACGTGTATGAATGTGTCTCGGCTTGTTTGGAGATTTGCCTCAGTGACCTTTTAGCTGTGTGAGAATTTGTCTTGCAGCTGTACCTCTTTGGGTCACCTGGTGTGGTCATCATCAGACAAGTTACCTTTCAGTCAGAAAGCCAAGTCAGCCAGGAAGTGGTTGTAGCCTCCACGTCTGAAAAGTGAAGGCAGTGCAGCAGCGCCTTAAAGGAACAGTGTGTAGGATTTAGTGGCATCTAGCAGTGAGGACAGCAGATTGCAACCTGCTGTAACTTCTCTTGTCTGGATTTCTTCAGTGTCCTTGTTCAGGAGGTTTTTAACCATGAGCTGAATTACCCGCAGAGGTCTCTTCTCCAAACCAAACCACAACACAATAAAAAACATAAAAGATAAAGAGTGATGTAAAATATTAGAACACCTACGCACAATGACAAGACCCATCCGACTCATTCATCCTTGTAGTTATGAGAGCTTTAAAGTCGGGTGAAGAGACCAATTCATGTAGTTTCAAATGTCTTTGAAGCAGTTTTATATTTGTCTTACGTCACTTGGCTGAAGCCGCACCTGTGCAGGTAGTCAGCGACACAACAACCACGTTAACACACGGATCATAAACAGGTTAGCCATGTCAATGTAAAAGCACTCACTCGCTAGTTTCAAGTCCTCTTCAATACAGCATGATATTCATTTTGTAAATTACAGTCCCAATGAGGCTCTCAGTCAGATCCATTCCTCGCACTTCCACAGCTCCACCCTCTCATCCAAACATGCTCAACTCTGGCTCCAAAAAACCAAGATGGCAACGGCCAAAATGCTGAACTAGAGATTTCAAAAGAGTCGTCTACAAACCAATGTGCAGCTACGTCCACTTCTTTTATACAGTCTGTGTTTTTTACTACTGTTTGTTAGCTGTCACTTTTATTGGCCTTTTTCACAGAGGATATGTTGACATGTGACAGCTGGAGAAGCACAGGTAACATTAATGACTGAACTCCAGGAACTCCTCATTGGAACACTCGAATATTCTTGGTAGCACCTGTTCTTTACTACAATCAGAAGTCCAAATGTCTGCTTTGGAAAAAGGTTTACTATACTGTACTCTCTCGTGTTTTCTCTTTTCTTCCTCTCTGTTTCGTCCAAGTTTGTGTCTTGTAAACTGAGACGTATTTACCCCTGCCCTCTCTTCACCAAGGTGAAGCTACTTGTAACATAAAAGCCTTAGCTGTTGATTCCTGGTGCCATCTTCTGTTAAATGCTCAATCTAACAGTACACTGGATTTATTATGTATAACACTGCATCATGTATACCTCTGACACTGGGACCATCATCACAAATGAGTTATGTTCTACAATATATGCATTTGTGCAAATTCTTTGATAATTGCTCTGATTGTTTAGATGCAACTTTATTTTTTTTACAGTTTGAGTGAATAATGGAGCAGAAGTGCCTGAAGATACTGTATACACAGAGCTGTGAAGATTTAAACTTTGGCTGCATCACTTGGAATCCTATTTTGTTTCTACAAAAGCCAGGGATTACTGTACTAACTTTTTTTTTGGTAGAATATGCTTGTTTGTAACTATTAAAGTTTTATATTCAATTAATGAACCTCATCGTGTGACTCATTTAACAGGACAAACACACACATGGAAATCTCTCAGCTTTATTTGTCAGAACAACTTTGCTACATTTCCAAAATCACATTTAACATTTTTACAATAATAGAAATGTAATTCAAATTTAAAATATTCAGATATTATTTAAATCTAAAGGAAGTACAATCTTATTCACATTTTGCCATTTCCATAAGCTTTGTAGACTTATTACAGATTAGGCTTTAAAAGCAGGAAAACAATGTTGGTGAATAACATTTTAAAGGCTTATTTATGTTTTACAGCAGTTAATGTAAAGTCATATGAACATTCCTCGTTAACTTGACAGACAGTACAAGGATAAAGGTGTGTGGTCCAGGCCCTGTAAGTGTAGTGACTTAGAAAGGAGGGTTTTGGTTTAAAAACAAAAAATGAGTCAACAATAAGTGATCCAGCAGTTTGTAGTACAAAACAATGTGTAGCACCTCAAGAGACTAAGTGGCAACTAAACAAAGTGGAAGCTAGCAAAATACAGTAGTAACGTTACGTCCTGCATAGCTAGCTAGTGTTTGCTGTTGTTTCTTAACAGTGAAAGTGAAAATCAGTGGATAGTGAAGAGCAGCATGATTAAGGGTCTGATCACACAGAAAGCTTTTTGCAGGATATCTGTGTGGTACATGAGACCCTATATAAAAGGGTGGATCATGGGGAGTACCACCAGTTGGTCCAGGAGCTTCTCCTTGATGATGGCTGGTTGCAGGCGTTTTTAGGATGACAACCTGCTATCGTCGGGCTTTGTAGCACTGGGTATCCAGCAACCGCTACCACCAGTTTCTCCTCTATTTTTTACCAACTGTAAACTTGTTGTCGTGACCATGACAAAAAAAAAAAGAGATAACGTGGGGCATTTATCCGTTTTTTCAACTCGAGGAGTTCAGAGCACCCTGGCAAAAACGCCAGGTGACTGATGAGTTTTACACCACAGACAGTCAGTGAGCTGATCTGATGTGTTCAAGTGGTTTTTGTCAGTGACTATATGCTTGTCTTACTGACTATTTGTCTGCTTTTTACAATGTTGTCTTTTATGTTTGGTGAGCCAAAGACAAATTTCTACCCATGGTGGACAATAAAGATATAATCTATTCTATTCTAGTCTATGATCGTGGCCCAGCCTCCAACACTGTATCCACTTTTATTTATACAGCCATGATCCAGATACAGTGATGGCAACCGACCAGACTGCAAAAACTAGTCCTGCGACCTCATGTTACCCCTGTATTTCTAATAACGTACAGACAGGGAGTGCCAGCAGTATGTATGGCTGTTGGAAGGTTGAAGGAAGACTTTTATTTCTTCTTTTTGTTTTTGATCATACAAGGCACAAATAAAAACACACACCAAGAAGATATTCACTGATTTCTCAGATAAATTTCAACATCAGTTCAACTTAAACAGTTTAGTACTTTTGCTGCATATTGCTGTAGATTTTCACCATTTCCAAACATAAAACAAGGCAAATTAACCGTACTAATATCAAAGCTATTTTTTATGGGTTCAACTGGAATGTCTTTTACTATCGCAGAAACATTTAAGGCCAACGGTCAAAACAGCCAGAAGTTTTTTCTTTAGTTTTCCACCTTAAAACTGACACAAGTTTCATCCAAATGTAGCAAAAATTTTACCAAGTTTTCAAAAAAATCAGCAAAACAAATTTATTAACGTGCTTTCGATCAACTGCTGTTATGCAAATATTGGGAGCTGGTTCATCGAGATCAGCAGTGGGTGGCGGTACTGCTCCAGTGCAGTGCCACTGCAGGAGAGGGTGCAACAAGATGACATTAAGTAAGGGTTTTCATGTTAGGTACAATTGATTCATGCCATGCCAAAGTATAATTTCACCCCCACTCCTCTCCACCGCTGCTCAGCTTTCACATTAGTAACGTTATTCTGTACCAGAGTGCACTTGGGTCATCATCTACAGTGGGGAGAACAAGTATTTGATACACTGCCGATTTTGCAGGTTTTCCCACTTACAAAGCATGTAGAGGTCTGTAATTTTTATCATAGGTACACTTCAACTGTGAGAGACGGAATCTAAAACAAAAATCCAGAAAATCACATTGTATGATTTTTAAATAATTAATTTGCATTTTATTGCATGACAATTATTTGATCACCTACCAACCAGTAAGAATTCCGTCTCTCTCAGACCTGTTAGTTTTTCTTTAAGAAGCCCTCCTGTTCTCCACTCATTACCTGTATTAACTGCACCTGTTTGAACTCGTTACCTGTATAAAAGACACCTGTCTACACACTCAATCAAACTGACTCCAACCTCTCTACAATGGCCAAGACCAGAGAGCTGTGTAAGGACATCAGGGACAAAATTGTAGACCTGCACAAGGCTGGGATGGGCTACAGGACTATAGGCAAGCAGCTTGGTGAGAAGGCAACAACTGTTGGCACAATGATCAGAAAATGGAAGAAGTTCAGGATGACGGTCAATCTCCCTCGGTCTGGGGCTCCATGCAAGATCTCACCTCGTGGGGCATCAGTGATCATGAGGAAGGTGAGGGATCAGCCCAGAACTACACGGCAGGACCTGGTCAATATCCTGAAGAGAGCTGGGACCACAGTCTCAAAGAAATCCATTAGTAACACACTGCGCCGTCATGGATTAAAATCCTGCAGCGCACGCAAGGTCCCCCTGCTCAAGCCAGCGCATGTCCAGGCCCGTCTGAAGTTTGCCAATGACCATCTGGATGATCCAGAGGAGGAATGGGAGAAGGTCATGTGGTCTGATGAGACCAAAATAGAGCTTTTAGGTATAAACTCCACTCGCCTTGTTTGGAGGAAGAAGAAGGATGAGTACAACCCCAAGAACACCATCCCAACCTTGAAGCATGGAGGTGGAAACATCATTCTTTGGGGATGCTTTTCTGCAAAGGGGACAGCACCGTATTGAGGGGAGGATGGATGGGGCCATGTATCACGAGATCTTGTCCAACAACCTCCTTCCCTCAATAAGAGCATTGAAGATGGGTCATGGCTGGGTCTTCCAGCATGACAACGACCCGAAACACACAGCCAGGGCAACTAGGGAGTGGCATCTCAAGGTCCTGGAGTGGCCTAGCCAGTCTCCAGACCTGAACCCAATAGAAAATCTTTGGAGGGAGCTGAAAGTCTGTGTTGCCCAGCAACAGCCCCGAAACCTGAAGACCTGAAAACCTGGAGAAGATCTGTATGAAGGAGCGGGCCAAAATCCCTGCTGCAGTGTGTGCAAACCTGGTCAAGAACTACAGGAAACGTCTGATCTCTGTAATTGCAAACAAAGGTCTCTTTACCAAATATTAAGTTCTGTTTTTCTGATGTATCAAATACTTATGTCATGCAATAAAATGCAAATTAATTACTTAAAAATCATACAATGTGATTTTCTGGATTTTTGTTTTAGATTCCGTCTCTCACAGTTGAAGTGTACCTATGATAAAAATTACAGATTTCTACATGCTTTGTAAGTGGGAAAACCTGCAAAATCGGCAGTGTATCAAATATTTGTTCTCCCCACTGTACGTGACATTTTTGTTGCGCTACAAAGTAGAAAAGGTCGCCTAAGATGGACAATGCTGCCCCACGACTGTCATCAGTGCCAACAAGCAGAGCAGCAAGGCCGGATCTGCTGCTGTTTGATTTAGAGGCATCAGTATTTCACTGAGACTGTTTATAACTGGTTAAAAACTGCTTGTAGTCGCGTTACATAGTGTTTCACTTCTGTCTTTTGGTATAGTTGGATGGATCAGGGCACTATGTCCCTGTCCCTGTACTGTACAGTACACAGTGCCCTGATCCATTTACACTTCTCCAACAAACTGGTGTTTGGGGCCAATTGCACTTGGATCGGGGCCCAGGTCCAAGATATGAAAGCCTCCTAAAAGAGCGCCACTCAAACCTCAAACGAACGAAAACAATGGCTGTATAAAAACAGTGAGCTCACTGGACAATGGAAATTGTGTTTGAACAACAGTTAAAAACAGGTTTTTTTTAGTTTCCTTACACTGGCTTCCCATCTGTCCTATTTCCAGCCTAACCACCCCCAAAATTAAATACATTTTCCCCCGCTCGCTCTCTGCTTGTACATACTGGCTCCCGTAGCAGCTCTTTTTCTCTCCCTCTATCGCAGCTCAACTCCTCTTATCACCATTGTTGTATGAAGAGAACTCTGTTGGTGATGTTGTCTCGTATGTGAGACGAAGAATGGATGAGGAGAGACTCGTTGCTGGAGTCAGGAAATATCCCCAGCTAAACAACCCACTATCCCGTCATTACAAAGACAAAAGCCAAAAAAATACAGCCTGGCGAGTCATAGCTCTGGATATCAGCTCTTCAGGTGAGAAATCAAGTTTATTTAGGGGCTGTCCACACATGATTTTATGCTAATGCAGAGGTGGAGGAAGTACAGATCTTTCAGTAAAAGTAGTAATAACTTTGCGTGGTCGTTTCACAGCTTATTGATTGCAGGCATGAATTTTGTTGCACCTAACTTTAATCCATACACAAACTTTTTCATCATCCCCTAGAATGGAAAAGCACAAATTTGCATTTTATTTTGCTGATTTTGGTTAAAATTTGCACTTGATTTGGTTGGAAACCCAACCGGTGTCACTTCAACTTCTACTCACTGGAGGACAAACATCATAAAAAAAGGTCTTGAGCCTTAACATCATTTTAGCTTAAAGGCAGATCAATACTGTCAGGATTTAAAATTAAACATTTTCTACATAATTTACACAAGAATCATTAATACAAGAAAAACATATACACAGAAAATAAAAACTCATAGTAAAGTGTTTATCAATCACTACATGAAACAGAAAAGTTGATAGATTCTCCTAATGCCAGAGACGGTGGATATCACCTAACAGTACTGATTCTCTAACTTTGCATTGATCTTTGCTCAGAACAATTGTGACTATCTGTAGCTGTCGGCTCTCAGCTGAGGGTCTGTGAACCGTGTGTGCATTAATGTGTCAGTGTGGGTACTTATAGCTGAGATGTAGTGGCCAGGTGGAGCATCTGATGCAAGGAGCTGGAGAAGTTGTTGAATAGTATCACAGCGTCCGTCTCATGGCAAGATTTCCATGCTGACATGGAGATCACAATCCTGGAGGGAAAAAAGACATAAGGTAGCCATGATTGCAGTTGCTGAGATTACAGGGAAGGTAAACACTATCTCAGACTTTGATGGTGAAAACTGTGTTGAAAAGAACTTTTGCAGTTGAGTCACACTGATGCACACCATTGCCATTTCTGAAAACCTTTGATTTTGGCATATTTTGTGTAAGTTTTAAGGATCCGCCCGCAGGATATTTTTCAATTTAAGTTTTAACACCTCATACATAAATCATGACTGTTTCAGAAAAATATTTTAAGAAGAAGAAACAGCATCATGGAAACTTTTGTCTCGTCTGCCCACCTGTCATCTCTGATGCGATAGAAAAAGCCATAGCCGTGGTGCACCATGGGAGCCACGGCCCCCAGGATTGTAGTGTAGCCCACCAGACTGGACGACAGCACAAAGTTACCACCACCGCCACTGCAGACACAAACACAACTCAGTTACAGACAGACAGAAAGATGTCCCTAACACATCTCAACCAATGCAATGTCTTCAGTCTGCTTAAGGATTTCTGTACTGCAGCACAGTTTGTCAAACAGATCATTTATGAGAATGTCCGTCACGATCCAAAGGTAATTTTGTACCATCCCTTTAAACCTCAAATGTTTTTGCACCAACACCTATTGTTTAATTTACATTAAAGCCCAACCAACATGAGATCTGTGAGGCTGATGCTTTCATATTTGATGCCTTTATATTTCTTTGTAATTATTTTGTGCCTCTTTGCAGTTCCTTTGCATCTCTTTGTGGTAATTTTGAGTCTCTTCCTGGTCGTTTTTGTCATTGTTTCTCTCCTTCAGTTGAAAGGAGGTCCCTTTTTAATGTTTGGATTTTATGCAGTTTCATGAGTGTGCAATCAAAATAAAAAAGTTATTTGGGTGACATTTATTTCGCAGCTGAAGGCCAGGGGGTCCCCTGCCACTTTGGGCTCCTGGGCTCTAATCCATCAACGAGCGTGATAGCTCCAAAAGTGGCGAGTCATTGTATCAAACGCATCCCATATTAAATAAACAGTTGTGAATGGTTTGACCTAGGCCAGGTTGGCTGAAAACCTGTTTGGATGGGAGGGGGTATCTGTCAGAGCAAATAAAACATGAGCTTGTTGATTCATCCGGTTCTCAAGCTACTACTTCTGCATGTTATCCAGCATACTCACCTCTGCTGACACACTGAGGCTGTGGAAATAAGCTGACAACATGAACCTGCTGACATACGCCCTCTTCACCACAGACATGTTGATGTGTCATAGTAGGACAACGGCAAGTGAATTAACTTAATTCTATTAAGGTGAGCCAGCTGTGTGTGTTTGCTCACTGGGATGGCTCACTAGGACATGGTTAATGTTATTAGTCACACCTGTGCTTTTATCATTTAAGTCATTTAAGTCTGTATATAAAAAGCAGTTTTACAAAACAGAGAATGCCATTGTATTATCAGATAAAAGGTACATGCACACAATGATATAACCCACATAGACACACTGTTTCCAAAAACATGAGTAAGCTTTACAGCTCGTACCTCTTTGCATAGAGAGGATCTGTGAAGAGTTCTGGAGTGGGATGACCCTCCTCTTTAGCAATGAGGTACAGCCCAAGGAGATGCCTGTCAAAACCTGGCAACAGGATCACAAAATGACAACATAAGACAGGTACGTCAGTGCTACCCCCGTTAACACATAAACAACATGCAACACTGAGCCACATAAACAACAGAACTCCCAGTGAAAACACTGGACACATTTGTAAGTCCAATCTGATACTCTACACTAAAATAAGAGCGCTGTTGTACGGACAAACAGAGCGTTCTCTTTCTATATGAATTAACGAACGGTTAAGTTAATCACACATTCACACTGCTTGGTGCTCTGATGCTCTGAGAGTGTGGTTCATTCCAACAGTGCTCCCAATTTACCAACAGTCCAGTTTGTGCCAGAGAGCACTCCAGCACTCAGTAAGTATTTTGGAACCCATAGGTGTTCTGCCACTAACAGTTGGTATCAGTTGGTATCAGTTGAACGCTCTGTTCTCTCTCCACTACTGAAACAAAGCTCCATAACATTAGCCCCATTTACACCAAGCAGTTCAGTTCAGTTCAGTTCAGTTCAGTTCAGTACACATTTTTTCCATTTCCATTGTGAAAAGTTGTGGATGGTACCAATGGAACCGTTCCGTACGGTCCCCATTTTTGGTCACTTCTCTGTTGGGGTACCTAGCACACAGATCTGACACTAAAAGCTGCCGGTACAAACAGTACAGTCTGTTGATTGGTCAGTATAGAACCGTCATTCTTGCTCAGGGCTGAGTTGTGGCTGGTTTTGAGGCTCATGTAACCACTGTTCATACTATGGCAAGTTTTACATACGATAGTAAACTATTACAATGAAAGGATGTTTTGCTGCCTCTAGCAGCAGCTGTAGACTAAAAAAAAATTATTTAATTCACTGGGCCGACTGCCGGCAACTTTTAAGGTGGAACATCTATCTGTAATGTTACTCAATGCATAAACTGATGATGTGAATCCATCAACACAACACACCTTAAATTTTAGTGAAAACTTTGACCATTACTTTAGTTTTTATTGTCTCTCTTTGATGACATACACTTTTAGTGATGAGTAAATCTTCCAGTGTTAAAAAATATATGTTATTTTCGAAAAGATTATGTGAACTGCATTTAATGAAATCCTCATGTGGAGGAACAAGAAAACCTGTCGGAGCATCATTCTGGTGTGCTGCAGCAGCACTAAACCCGTGAGCTTGCCTGAGAAGGGCTCAAAGCACAAACCAGCTATTTTTAAATATCCCATGGGGAGAGACTTCCCCTCCAGCCTATTCCATTTGTTCTGAAAATGTTGACGTGCAACCCCGTTCTGTGGACGATAAATCAGTGGAGATGAAATACAGTGAGTGACAACAGCCCTGCCCACATTGAAGTGTACTATCTACAACAGAAACGCTTAACAGATCTACAGTCTAGGTACATGTCTGTAGGGGTTACTTTTGGTTCTAAAAGGTACTATACCGAAAGTGTTTGTTGGAAACAGGGCTATTGTTACAGGTCTTTGAATGCTGCAGCCCCTAATTTGAGATACAGCTATTGTAAGTGTTATAAGTACTGTTAAACATCAAGCAATTACATGTATATATAAGTGAACTAACCTTTTCCTTCCTGGGCTTCACCCATCAGTTTGTTGTGTTTCATGAAGGCCTGCACCATGGCTTTCCTCTTGGTGTCAGCCTGAAAGAAAAATGTTCATGCGCCACATGAAATAAGACTGCTTCCACCTCCATCCTCTGTGTGACTTTGCCATTGTGTAGGGTTTCAGTCATGCACACACTCACATCACACGTTGGGTCCATCATGGCTTTGCACCAGTTCACAGCCTCCTGGGTGCAGGGTCGCATCGTATCCGTCCTGCCGTGGTAATATTTGCGAGTCATTGCTGTCTCGTAACAACTTCCTGGCCTGTGAAGAGTAAGACGAGACACTCAGGGACCTTCCCGTCACAGACTTCAAACATTAGTAAAGGCCTGGTCCAATTTTCAACCAGCCCATACCTTTTGTGAATTCTGTAGTAGGCCAGCTGCATTGCTAGTTGAACAAAGGTGTCTGGATGCAACTTCTTCTGTCTGATGTCTGCTTTTCCAAACCCTGTGAAGGCATAACACACAATCTGCAGGTCCTGTGCCTGTAAAACCAGCAACAAAGTGGACACCCACACAGCTGTGACTATGGAATATCATTTTATCATTTTGCATTGCACTTCTTCTGCTGTAGTTTGGTGTTCAATGCTGGCTCACCGCCTCAAGATATTGCTGTTTGGCGTGGCTGATAGCACTCTGGATTTTTTCATCCACAGTAAACACCAGCTCCTCAGGACGGGGTACAGGTCTGACTGCATCTGAGCCCTAAAAAGTATAGACATCAACGTGTGAAAAGTGGACAGATACATTTAAATGGAACCAGCAAAAACAATTTATGTATAGAATCAAGTGATGGTCAAAGTTTACCTGCCATTTGCCTCCTGCAGCTTTGATCTGCTGATCCAGATACCAACACATAGACACCAGTGCCATGGCATCATATGGCGCATGCTGCAAAACAATCTGACTTTTAATTCTAACCCTTCGAGAATTAGATTTTAAAGTTTAGAATTATTTATTAATTGGGGTGAGCAGCATGAAAATGTGTCAAATAAAAATGTGTCATATACAGGGTGTGTTGAAATTTCAGTAGCATGACACACACACACACACACACACACACGTATAAACTCACATCACAATTGGATGCAAAAGTGCCATTTCCGAACACCAGTGAATTGTATGATTTGTCACCCCAGCGGATGGTGGGGTCGCCTGCAAGGGCTTCTACGGTCAACTGTGTTCAGAGATTCAAAGACAAAATTAGACACACAGCTCTCCTCTTTAAACCTCTTCCACTCCACTCCTCCAAACCACAGACCAACTTTGTCTTTGTTAGGGGGGGGGGGGGGCAAGGGATCATTAGGGGTAGATAGCAGGTCAACAGCATATGCCTCATGGAAGTGTTACACATCATCTGAAAGCACTGTGTGACAAGTTTTTCTAGTCATAAATCTGTAATAAACACTGTTGTGGTTAGGCGCCTGTTCAGACTTTGAACGTTTAGTTTGAATAAGCGCTTGGAATATTATGATACACGTATATGTCGGCCATTTTAATGCTCAGTTCTGTCTCATAATTTGTTGCGGCAATGTTTGGTTCGAAACCATTTGTCACCCATTCGATAACTGATAGATGTTTAGCAAATCCCTCAAAAATACCACATCAAGACACCAAGACCTTGATGAGCATCATAGAAAAATCCATGTTGTGATTTCTTATCAAAAACTTTTGACATTTGGAGATTTCTGTAAGAATTGCATTTTTCAGCGATTGGATGGGGAGCACTTCTGTTCTGGAAACTGCCAAGAAACCCTCTCATTGTCAATACACCTATGAAAGTCATACATCCTGTCAATGCCCAATGTCTCTAGTTTGTGGCTGTAAAGTTTCATGAGGTTGTGATGATCCTAGAGGTCACAATATGTCATTTTATACAGTCTTAAAAAGGGTCTCACTACAATAAAATGTCTAACGGGACCACCACACATGGATAAAACTGGGTTCATTGAATCCCCAAGAGTCTCAGCTCCCCAGTCATACACAATATGCAATGTCAAGACTTTTTAGGGACCCCAGAGTGCAGAAATATTCAAATACATAGGTGAAAATAACACATTTTTACTACATGAGAAAAACGGCATGAGTTTCGCCCCCAAACGGCATGGGACTAGAATAAAGTCCGTAAAGGGGAGACTTGTAGGTACCCATAGAAGCCCCCGTGAAAATGAGATGCTACATCTCAAGGGGCTATCCTTTCAATAAAGTCAAATTCAAAATTTAGCCTAACTTTTAAGAATTATTTAACCCCCTTCCTGACAAGGTAGCCTGACATGTCTGGTACAAATGGATTCCTCTTTAGGTCGTTAAGTGTCTTGTGATACCAGTATTTTCAATCTAGCTTTAAAACCAGCTACAGCTTCTGAAAGACAGCAAAGTCGGCCAAGGATGCCAGTGTCGAGTGGAAGAGGTTAAAAACACTGAACATTAAGTAATTAAATCATAAATAATTAAATACTCTGTGCAGCCCTTACATTTGAGTAGTTCTCTGCAGTGGAGTAGGGTTTCGCTTCATCCAGAGAAACGATGAATAGGCAGCTCTGGATGGTCTCCAAGATGGTGTTATTATGTGGGTCAATGCTTATTAGATGCTCCCTGGCCTGCAGAGAGAGTAAACAGATACATGCTGACAGTACTGATACTCAAATATGCTTCTGTAGTATGAGAGCTTTTTCCCCAAATGGGAGCCATTATCTGTTTTGGATTGTATTCACACAACAGGTGAACATTAAAGTCTCCTAGCATGAGCCCCCCTACCTGCGCCCAACGGGTCCTCTCGTCTGTGGTGAGAGCAGCCACTCCTTCTCCCACCGGCTCTCCTTCACAGCACTGCTTCACATAGCTCAGCTGCCTGTACAGGTGAACACACCCACATTAAAAAGGCAACATTAAAATCTTGGCTGCTTTCCATCAGCTTATTCCGCTTCCTCGTCCTCAAGCTCATAATTACAGGGTTTCTGCAGGTTCACCAAGTTTTAATTTGCCTTTTTTAACATCACACAGAATGCAATTTAAACCTGTGTAACAGTCTAGACAGTCTAGAGTTATTTATAACTAATGCAGTGCCCATTCAAAACATGCCTGCTTGGAGCAGGTTGACTGCATGGCCTGCTGCATTACTGCCTGCAGCTTTCACGTGTACCACTTATACAACTTCACATTCGACACCTGAACCACAAACGGCTATAAATGTATTATAATGTTATTATAATGTAGATATTAAAATATTAACTTTGATGCTATAGTTGTTGGTGTCTGAGTTTTTCAGAAACTGCTGATCTACTGGGATTTTCACACACAGCCATCTCTAGGGTTTACAGATGATGGTCCGAGAAAGAGATCCAGTGAAAATATCCAGTGAGCAGCAGTTCTCCGGGAGAAAATGCCTTGTTGATGCCAGAGGTCAGAGGAGAATGGCCAGACTGGTTCAAGATGATAGAAAGGCAACAGGAACTCAAATAACCACTGGTTACAACCAAGGTCTGCAGAAGACCATCTCTGAACCAACAACACGTCCAACCTTGAAGCAGATGGGCTACAGCAGCAGAAGACCACACCAGGTGCCACTCCTGTCAGCTAACAACAGGAAACTGAGGCTACAGTTCACACAGGCTCACCAAAACTGGACAATAGAACATTGGAAAAACGTTGCCTGGTCTGATGAGTCTGGATTTCTGCTGCCACATTCAGATTGTAGGGTCAGAATTTGGTGTAAAGAACATGAAAGCATGGATCCATCCTGCCTTGTATCAACGGTTCAGGCTGCTGGTGGTGGTGTAATGGTGTGGGGGATATTGTCTTGACACACTTTGGGCCCCTTAGTACTAGGGTTGGGTCGGTTCTCGGTAATACCAATTCGGTCCGGTACTCCGTCTTGGACCGGGTTTTATTTTTTGAGACTGACCGGACCGCATACTTGGGCAGAACGTACGCAGTGCGGACGCCGCGGAGGTCCGCCCGGTAAAAGTGGACGTCCGCTAGCCCTGTGCGCGCAAAGCACGACCGCGCGGACTTCGCTCCGTGCACCAGTGTCACACAAAAGACTGTTCGGCATGTATTTTTCACATCGCGGGGATTTTTCACAGACATTTTTACACGTAGTCCACTCTGCTTATAGTAAGCCAGAGTCTGTGAGCACCTGTGTCTGCCTCTTCACCAAGCGCACAGCAAGCAGGAGAGAGAGGGGGGTGGGGCGGGGACTGAGCTAGGAGGTGCGAGTGCACATGCGCCTCTACTGTAGCCTGGAGTTTGTTTAATAGTGACGGGGAGTCGATAATGGCGGACAATTTAGTCTCGACGAAATCAAGGAATGCGCCACTATGGCAACACTTTGGCTTTGAGCCAGACGAAGGAGGCAACCCTTGTTTGCACTGATTGAGTAAGCTGCAAAATTTATTTGTAAGGAATAAAAGAAACAGCTTGTTACTGTCACTCTGTTGTCCTAAGGTCGTTTTTTATTTTAAATGAGTCAATTCCGCCCCGAAGTGGCGAAAATCCAGTATTACCGACTTGATGCGGTTTTTTACAAAAACCGGACCGTTTTTTTTTTTTTTCCCTCATACCGACCCAACCCTACTTAGTACCAACTGAGCATGGTTTAAACACCACAGCCTACCTGAGTATTGTTGCTGACCGTGTCCATCACTTTATGACCACAGTGTACCCATCTTCTGATGGCTACTTCCAGCAGGATAACGCACCATGTCACAAAGCTCAAATCATCTCAAACTGGTTTCTTGAACATAACAATGAGTTCACCGTACTTCAATATAGTAGAGTACACAGCACCTTTGGGATGTGATGGAACGGGAGATTCTCATCATGAATGCGCAGCCGACAAATCTGCAGCAACTGTGTGATGCTATTGTGTCAATATGGAACAAAATCTCTGAGGAATGTTTCCAGCACCTTGTTGAATCTATGACACCAAGAATTGAGGCAAGGAGGAACTAAGAAGCAAGGGAATGATGCTAGGAGCCATGTTACCAAAATGGATAGGCCCCCCTTGTCTGCTTCCCAAAGATACTGTAGGTGTAGCGCCCTCTTTGGGCTACCCATGGAATGCAATTTTTTCAGACTCAGTGGTAGGTTGTATAACACTCTTCTATCTTTTTATAAGTTTAGTTAACAGTGTCAGCAGCAGTTGGTTTATGGCCCCAATGCCTCAACTGCAAGTTTGTTCCCATGAGTGGTGTGTGTACTACCTGAGAAGTTCTGGAGGAGTGAGGATTTGTCCATCATGGACTGCGTCAAATGTGAAGATCCGTCCACGACACATCACTAACAAATGGGAGGGGCACGGACCTTCACTCTCTGTGGGGCAGCACAAAAAGCACATACACAACGGTGATATGTCAGCTTATCAGGGGTGGTAAATTGTATACAGGTGTGTCTTAAGGTTAGAGATAAGAGCCAAGTTGATCATACCTGTCTTGAAGTAGTTACGAATGGTGTCCTTCTTTACTCCAGGTACTTTGCAGGTGCAGAACAGCATTCTGAACTGGTCCATATCCAGCGGTATTTTTCCAGCTTTCTGAGGATGAATCCTCTCCCTAAAAAAAACAAAAATTACATTTATACCTGTCTTCATGTAAAAAGGAGAGCAACATCACAAAACACAGCTTGTAAAAATGTGTGTGAACATGTCTTACGTGCGGATCAGGTTCCAGTACTGTAGTGTGTGCCATGTGCTGATACTGGCCCTCTCCAGTTGAGTTCCCTCTTCAGCAGGCCAGCAGTGCTCTAAGTACGCCCCAGGGCCGGCAAAGTTCACATTCAGCTGAGAGGGGATGCGTGGCTCCAGATAAGCAGTGTCTAACCACCATTCTTCCAGCTGAATGATTAAAAAAAAACTTAGTAAAACATCCATGACTGAATAGGGCACATGCAACACCAAAAACAAGGCATTTACAGCTCAATTACACACCCAGTTCCTCCTTGTCCTGGCTCTCTGCAGTAGCTTCTGATGAAGCTCTTTGCCAACACCATCTTGAAATTTCCTCACAATATCCGCTGTAGCCTTGAACTCTTCGTCAGATGCAAATGGACGAACTGATGGAAAACATGGCAAAGAAATATTAGTTAATTAAAAGCCCCAGCTGCCAGTCGTGGTGAACGTTAAGCATCTTCTGCTATAGAAACTAATTCAGCTTGCACAAAAAGCTTACATATACAGTTAATATTCAACACATAGTCATACATTCCTACTGATTCACTTATTAACACACCTCTATGTGGTGACAATAGTCAGAGTTAAATGTTCTATATGTGACATTCAGAGGATTAGTACACCAACAAACTACTACTGACCAGTTAAACTCCACCCGGATTAAAGTTAGGAGAGTTTTTCTTCTGTTAGTTTTTTCTCTCTTCTCTCCTCTCTCCCCTCATCAAAATGAGGGAGTAGGGGGAGGTAGAGTGTACGGCGCAGTTGGGCTAGAGAGATTTCAGTCCGCATTGATGTCTCTTCTTGGCTCTACTTACTTTTCTATCCATCTAACGTTAACCTTGTGGCTCCCACTCAGAAACCCCAGACAGCACTATCACTCCCACTCATAGTCTCAAGTACGTGCATCAAGGGATTGTAACATCTAGTCCTAAAATGAACTACTGAGCAGACGATGAAGTCACGCTCCCTCTCTGTGTTGTAATCTGAGCGTCTCTGTGGTTTGTTGTTGCAAGCTGCACGTTAGTGCATGTGTGCATCCCGTTGGCTGGCTTATCAATGTAACTTTGCACTACACTCATACTGCAGTTACTGCTGATATCCGGATGTGAAAGTATAGCGCCCACCCTTTGGTTTCGCCCGGTTAACACCTTTAGCTCCGTCAGTGCTGTTGCCGTTGTTTAGCGCTGTTAATTTCACCATTTCACCTGGCTCAGCCACCTCCATTTTGACAACCATGTCCAGACAACTCATATGTCCTGAATTTCACTTCTTCCTTTTAAGAGCTACTGACTTTGGCATATTGCACCTCTATGTAAGCTGTTCTGGTGAGAACTGTTGCACCTTTGACACAGACAAATCCAAAGATCTGAGATAAACTGTTAAATGCTGTCGCATAATTTTAATTTCAGTGTTGATGGCATATTTTAATTTAAACGTGAACGCATCCATTTATTTTCCAAAACTTAGTAGACTTGCTCCTAATCCACCAATTTTTGGAAGCGATTGAGATCAGTGGGAACATACTTCTTGTCCTGTCTTAAATATTGTCCAAATCCAAGAGAAACCAGTTTAAAACCAAAGATAAGGGCTTTTACCTGAAGGGCAAAATTACAAAATAACAATTTTCACAACACTAAACATTTACCTAAAGACAAATGACAGTAGCAGCAGCGAGCAGAAAGGCCATGGTGAATTTTCTTAAATATATACAGTATTTGTTTAAGTAAATATTTAAAGTTCACGTGATGAATATTTAAAAAACAAAACCTAAACTGAAACAGAGTAACATGTGACACAGCAGGTTGTTCAACGTTACTGTCCTACCTGCATTCAGGTACTTTGAAAGGCTGGTCTCTACTGATGGGACAGGCAGGGATGGCAGGCTGTTTTGGTACTGGAAGGTCCGCTCTGGCACAGTCTCTGACAAGTTATTATCCATTTCTTCTCCTTGGACGGAACTGAGACTGAAACCACAAAACAAACATCTGTAAATGTCTTAAGGGAAAACTGTGTGGGATTTAGTGGCAGCTAATGGTGAGGTTGAAGACTGCAACCAACTGAATACCCCTTCCCTCATGATTCCCTTTCCAAGTGTATGTTTTCTTTCCACTAGTCTGAAAGACATAATAGCCCAAAATCTTAAAATTGATGGATAGCATTATTAGTTATTTATTGTAAGCAAGTACAGCTATACAGCCCAGCCTATAATAAAAGCTAGTACTGTCTACATAAGTTACACATGCAGTGCAACATAAATGATTAACACTGTACTCAGACTCCTTGTCCATCTGATAAGTATAACACACTGACACCAGTGGTCCCCAGCTGGTGGGTCGCAGTCCAAAAGTGGGTCACAGGTCCATCCTGAATGGACTGCAAGTGATAATAATAATAAAATAATAATAATTAAAATAACTACGGCAGACAAACAGATCAGGGGCCTGTATCACGAAGCAGGATTAATGTCTTAGCGAGGTAACTTCGGGGTTAACCCTGGGTTTTCGGTCTCATGAAGCCGGTTCAGTTCTTATTGGGGTAGATCACCATGGTAACTTACTCTGAACGGCTATCCTGCTCCGGAGCAGGCTAAGTTCAGGGTTGAATCTGATCCTATAAAAAGCACCACCCGCTGGCCAATCAGCTGTTCGAAAAAAAATGACTCCGCTGACAGAAATGCAGCCCAGTCATGACGGGAAGTTTAATTAATTTGATTGATTTTGATTTGAAAGTTTATTTTGAACATTAAAAAAGAAAAGAAAGCAACAACAATAGACAATGAAAAGATTGTTCAAAAAGGAGTGGAAAGAAGTCGAACTTTCATCCCACCCCTTCATAAGAAAGAAATTGATCATTTGCGGACACTTAATAGCACCATTAATTAGTGCCAATGTTTTGTTTTTTTTTGTTGGAGGAAATGATCTCTGTTAAAGATAATGGGCCTAATTGACAGCTTTGCTGCTGGAAATGTGGAAAGTAGCCTATCATGTCTACACTTCATGGTGTTTGAGGGATTTTCCTTTTTGTTTTTTAAAGAGGGAGACTAGGTATATTTTTGCGCAGCTGTTAATTTCTAACACAGCTCAATATCAGGATGATTTTATTCAGACTATCAATTTGGTGTTGATATGATTTAATTGTGGCGTCAGCTTTAAGCTTTATTGTAGCATATATAAGGTTATGACAAAGAAGAGCAATTTATCAGACGCAATGATGTTAGACGATAATTGTAATACATGCAATTCATCTGCGCAGCATTGATTTCATGGGATTCAAGGGTGTGATCAGTGTCAGTTGTACAGGTACAGGTACTGTAGCTACTTGAACCAGTGATGAGTAATTTAACCTACACATCATTTTATTTGCTACCTTGTTTTGTCTTGATTTTTCCCTCTCTCCTCCTCTATTTCTTCTTTCCTGACCCGTTTTTTTTTTTTCTTCTCTGTTATGTGATTTCATTGATGTTTTGACAGGGGAATTTCTTTGATAAGCTTTTAGTGGCTTCTAACCTCTCCGGCACTTTTCTTTTTTTAATCTTGTAAATTTTATACTGTCTGTTTTTAACATTATGTGCAAATAAACTAAACTAATCTAAACTAAACTAAACATTATTCATCCCGTTATGCATTGACACTCATGTTTCCTCCTCCTGCAGCTGCCACGGTGTTGGCCTTTTCTGTAATGTTGCTTTTCTCCTCCTCATATTTTAGTAGAATTAATCTCTGATCCTCACGAGAAATACTTTCTTTTCCTCACATAGCCTACAGCGCTCTGTGAGGACACTCAGTGATGCTGCGCTTCTCTCATGATTGTGATTGGTCCACTGCGTGCATGTTCACGACTCTTGATAAAGCAACCCTGGGTTGAGTTACCGAGTTGATATCCAGCTTCGTGATACCGATTATCCTGATTGCCATTGTTAGGGTTAGTCAACCCAGGATAGGTCTGGGTAACCCAGGAAAGGTTGATCTCGCTTCGTGATACAGGCCCCTGGTCAAACACACTGTAAACATTTCTCAACAAGCCAAACAGTTCTTGCAGATAAACTACAAAGCCAAAAGTGTGTGGACACCCCTGGCTGAGTACTTCTGTTTATTTAGATCTGGCTGTTATGTTTCATTTGGACTCCACCTAATCATAAGAAATCCTAATGATGGATGCCAAAAATCTGTCTTAAAGCAATACTCATGTGCCCATGTGTGCATCAAAACAGGTTGGACTTGCTATAATTATTCCTCCTCTTCACACAGGCCAACAGAAATCACTTTCTGATGTCCTTACAATGTAAGTAATGGGAGCAAAAATTCAATCTGTTGCCAGTTTGAGGTATTCCTAATTAAAACTAATACAATCTGATACATCAGTTCTGCAACATACTGTACCATCATTAAGGCTGTATAATGTTTGGTTTTTGTTGAAACTGTTTTAGAGAGGCGTTGATTCAACTGTATGGTCATTGTGGATGGTGTCGTTTGTGTTGGGTATGCTAAATCAGTGGTCCCCAGCTAGTGGGTCGCGGACGAAAAGTGGGTCACAGGTCCATCCTGAATGGACCGCAAGTGACTCAAGAATGTGTTTGTAGAAAGTTTGTAAAAAACACATTTTGTTTTGAAGTACAGTGAATTTCTGGCATAGAACTTTTTTTTAAAAGTGTTGTTTCCTGCTGTAGAGAAAGTGAATGACACAGCTACCTGACAGAGACAGCGAACTAGTTCAACATCATGGGCAAACGCAAGACTGTGAGTACATTAAACTACAGTATGTGGACCTTGAACCAGTTGGAAAACCACTGCACTAAACATATTAGCGTTAGTTGAATACGCCTGTGAGCCCTGTTTTGCCAGGGCTGGCTACACCACTTAGACCAAACACATGCAGAACATATCATAAACATAATGCAAATAATGATGGCAATTTGTTGAGTTAATTCATGATTTTGATTGATCACAATGATTATTTTGGACAGCAGTGTGTGGTTGGCTATCACATATCAGCATTTTTTTCTAATTTAGAATTTTTTATCAATAGTATTTGGCATATTTGAATATTGGGGGTGTCCCCTCTACTATATATTATAATTACTGCTTTGACCCAGTCTGTAGGCTGATATCATACATGTTCCCTGGGCAGGTGTACACAGCAGACCTGTGACCAGTCTGTTTGGCATTTACTGCTACTCAAAAGGATTTTCTAATGGTTGTAATATCCTCCAGTTTTACTGTGGGATATAAAGTAGCTTTAAACTGTTGCCAGCGGTGTTACTATATTTATTCAAGTAACGTTCTTTCATAATCTAATTTTATGACAACTTCAATAAAAGTTACTAGTGTAACTTGGCTTTCACACTAAGTTCAATAAAAATGCAGCCTGCTAACCTGCTTGTTGTAAGCAGCCAATTTCAGACATGTTCCTCGTTAATTATTATATCAAACTAACCTGTTAAACGATGTCCAATTAGCTAGCTAACGTTAGCACGACAACAGCGCGTTAGCCAGTCTCGCCCGCGGCAATTATTTAAGTTTAAGCTAAGTAAACAGCGATGTTTGACGTGTCCCGAGGACAAACTTGATTTCAAAAACGCCATTTCTAGCTTTAAAACAAAGTCGGTTTGTTAGCTCACCGTCTTCAGGTTGTGTTGACTTTAGCTGACTGCATCCACACACTGCAGAAATACATTTAATGAGCCCGGTCGGTGTGTTTGTATCCTCAGCAGCAGCCGCTACCTTTACCCCAGTGAACTAACACTATGCCAACCCGGAACACCACACCGCGCATGCGCATATGCAATGGCACTTGACCTACATTTTATCAGTGGAATAAAAAGGCAGTGTGGCTTTGTACCTTTATCAGTATGAATCCATGGTCTGTATACTGCAGAGAGGTGAGAGGTGAATTGATTTAGAGGCTGTGGGGACAAACACATGACCCATATAGAGACAAGGACACTACAAAGTATAAATTTAGGGAGTGTTCTTTCAGAGGAAGGGTGGCTGGAGAGTGTTTTATTTTATCTTAATGTTAGTTTGACCTTCCCTGAGGCTACAGATATTTTTCCCTTGAGCCTCCCTGAGTGACTGCCTGGAAATGCATGACCCTCCCTCCACCATAAAGTAGTTATTTGATTGTAAAAGCTTATCCCGTGATGTTTTTGAGTTAAAAGATGAGGACAAATGAAGACAGAGTTGAGAAAAGCTTTGGTTTTTCACTTTTGTCGTGCAAAGAGTTTATTAAATGAGATGGCGAATAAAGTGATTTTCATGAAATATCAGTATTTGGTTTTGTCTGATGGAAGTGTTTGTGCCACATAATGTGCTCATCAAAGGCCGTGGGAAATTTACAAACCCCAACTCTAACAATAATTTCTGTTTTCACAATTTCTGGCCATGATAAATAGTATAATTGTGGCAATTTTGGGTTTGTAAAGCATGTTTTCTTTAAAATCAGCTTTAAGATAAATACAAAATACAGCCATTTAACGTTGTGTGCCCCTCTCCTAAGCCAAATTTAAAAACAAAAGTCCTCCACAGTGCTTACATTTTTTTGACATGCCGTGGGTTGTGGGCCCATTCTGAATGGACCACAAGTGACTCACAAATGTGTCAAGTTTGCATGAAACACACTTTATTTTGAAGTACAGTGAGTTTTTGGCACAGAGCTTTTATTTTGAAGTGCCATTTCCTGATGTAGAGTGAGTGACTAACAGACAGCTACTAACAGAGACAGCAAACTAGGACATGAGCAAACACACGTATGATACTAAATATATTTAACTGTGTGGACCTTGAAGTAATTACTGAGGAGAAGTCTGGACCCTGTGGCTGGACCAGTTGGGAACCACTGTGCTAAATAACAACAAACACAAACAGTGTACAAAGAGGTTTTATTTTCACATTTGACAGCATTAATTTGTCCTGTTTTGCATTATCAAGCTACATATCAAAGTGTCAGTGTATACAGTAAGTTGCTGTGCCCGTGTGGATTACAAGAATAAACTACATAATTAATTGCAGTCAGCAGGTTTTACACTTCTAACCTTAAAGGATGCATAGGAGTTGTTCAGTTGTATAAGTTAATGGGAATAATCTATGTATAAAAAAAAAAAAAGACTGTCCATGAAAAGAAGTCACAGCAAATTTTAAATGACACTTTATCCTGCATCATTATGGCCTCTGACAGCAGAAGGCTACTTGTTATAGAGACAGCAGCATTGTTTCAGTGATTTAGTTCAGAAACTGTCATTTTTTGCATTAATTCTGCCACTTTAGTGCGTTGCAAGCTTTACATGCCGTACTTGCTGATGATTTCCTTTGCGAGTGTGATGTAGGCTGACATGGCATCTTCCTTGGACATTCCTGAAAGAGAGGAAATTTGAATTGAAAACATTTTTTTTGCCAGCAACTTTTACAACTACGAGTGTTTTTAATTTGTTACCTTTCCTGGAGTTCCAGGCGTCCCACTTGGCTTTTCCTTTTAAATCTGTTATTCCTGGTCTTTCTACAGTCGTGAGAACACACAGAGAGGAGGACCTATTCAGAATTCAGGGAACATGTAACATGGAGTGATTGTGTTTTTCTGTAGCAAGTCATACCGGTGTTAATCTCTCCAACGACTGACTGCTTGTACAGGCCGTACAGGTCCAGCAGCTCCTGGTCCGTAGGCCTCGTCTTCACGTTCTTCACGTCCACTGCCATCTTCTCAAACTCTGCCTGCAGATAATGAATGTCCGAAAAAGTCAGACAGACAGACAGGTAGGTAGGTAGGTAGAGGACGTATGAGGAACTTATCAATAAACAGTAAATCACATACAGTAGATGTCAATCAGCATGACCCCAGTTTACAGAAGCAGGCTGAAGTACCAACACAGAAGCTAAGCAAAGTACTGCTGTGGATGGGGGCAGGCAACAAAATGTATTTTAGCCACCTAAAAAAAGTCCCTCCTAAAAACAAAATAAATATTAGTTTAGATGTATGCTATATTAAGAGTATTTCCACCTCTTTATCTTTCCATCAGACAGCCCGTTCAAACAGGAAAGCCATTAAAGGCTTCAAATCCCCATCCACGCACTTGTCATCTAAGTCACCAGACTCCATTGAGAAAAACAGTAATTTTGGCTCACTGAACGTGGGAGCTGCTGGTCTACTGCTGCCTCGATCAGTTAGTTAGTTTGTGTTAGTGTGTGACTTTGGTGAATCTAAACTAACCCTTTTAAATGCCGAAGCCACTTAATAACACAAACAAAAATACCAGAGGTGGCAGAGGTAGACCAGCAGCTCCTTTATTAATCAATGTTAAATTGTGTTTTTTCTCAGTTGAGTCTGGCTTTGAAGAGAGCCATATAACTTAATTTTCCCATTGAAAATCGGTGTCTGACATTAAGGTGTAGCAGTGAAAATACTCTCAATATAGCGTACACTTAAACTGATACTGATATTTTTTAGGTGGCTAGAACACGTTTTTGTCCACAGCAGTACATTGCCTAGCTTCTGTGTTGGTACTTCAGCCTGCTTCTCCAAACTGGGGACATGCTGACTGAACTCTCCCTTTACAGCGAAAGATAAAAAGCAAAGAAATATACAGTACTAATCAACAATACAGTGGCGTAGTGAAGGTGTATGCTAAACTGTGATTTCGATACTATACCTACCTGTTATCTCAATATCGATACTGAAATGATGCCATGGCAAAAACCTAAAACCTAAACTTGAACAGGCTAATAATCCTGGAAGTGCCAGCCTTACAGTTAATGTCATTTATGTTTAATATTTTCACGCTCAATGAAACTGTAGTTTATGTGCTGGTAAGTGTTTTCTTGTTTGTTTTTCATACACATAGGTGCGAATTTGACAATGAATGAGTACATTTATAACATGAATAATTAGGTGACTGTAAATAATTACATCAAGATCATAGTGTTATTAAAGCTTTTACATGGGTATGCAAGAACACAGCGTATACCTTTCTCTTTTTATGCCCACCAATCAGCCAAAAGGCCATAGGAATATTTAGGGGAGAGTATACCCAATTTCTCCTCGGTAAAACACCCGTACACCCACCTCATCAACTGCCAAAAAATTAAACAAAGTACATTATTACAAAGTAATCTGCAAAGTCATAGTGCAGTTATAGATAGATTAAAAGTGCAGGAAGCTGATGTTTGTATTGATTTGTATGTCTGATAAATTATTCAAGCTATTATATTTGCACAGGCTGGTTATTCTACTCTCTGACGGATGAATCAATGTCATGTGGTGCAGCAGAAGCATACAGTAATCCCAGAATATGAGAAAGTGCATATTAATCAGTTACAAACAACGCTGAATAAGTAATCTGAGTGTAGTATTCCAGTCATGGTGCAGAGCCCTGGAGACCTATTGTTGCACAAGTTGGAGACAAACAATGGGCTTTTATTCAAGACTCTAGTGCTTCTGTGCCTACTTGAATAATCTACTTTACAAAGGATCTAGGGCATTGCAGAACAGATAATTATAGAGCATGGGAACCCAATTCAACAAAGATTAATCGTAAACCTTAAGATTAATCATAAACCTTAAGCAGGCCTATAGTTTAAAAGCATCGGTTAATCAAATATTTTTCATCTGCTCAAATAAATCAGAGCCAGATCCTGCTTGTTATTCCTTATCATTATAATATCATTTTAATTTTTTTTGGCAATCTGCTTTCATAACGTTAACTGTAGCTGCATTATCAGAAGAACCACAGAGCCAAAAGATATAAACATATATATATTCAGACTCTCTTTTCTCTTTTCATTCACTCATCCCACACTGTCAAAGATGGATGACACACATACAGTGAATGGCCTGGACGCCCCGCCGCTGCGACCGTTATTCATTTCATAGCGATAGTGCGTCTCCCGTCGACACACAGCTGAATCAAACAGAGACTAAAGCAGCAGACATTTTACCTGTGGAGACATTTCTGCAGATGTAGCCCCGTAGTTTGGACGAATGTGTTCCTCCTGTCGGCTCTGTGCAGCTGTGATTACAGCAGATCTATGCAATATAATCGGGCACAGAGAGAGGTACTGCAGCAGAGGAGGGAGCTGATTGGCTGCGTGTCACCTCATTCTCACACACACACACACACACACACACACACACACACACACTGTTTAATGATACTATTTCCCCATTATATTACAGTGAAACTAATTTATCTGACCTAGTTTTTTTTTTGTTTTTTTTTTGTTTTTTACAGGCTAACAATAAAATCTTTGTTATAATAACCCAACAGTATAGTTACAATAAGCAAAACATTAACCAAACATGAAAGTTAAATGCTTCTTACCATGAAAGCATAAAAAAATAATAAATAAATAATATAATGTCTATAGTGAATAGATTGCTTTTATCTTAGTACATTTTCCTTCAAATATTTTGGATTCAAATATTTTCTTTTGCAAGAAAAATTAGCCATGAACCCGGGACATGGTTATTTACCAATATATAAATAATGTATAAATACAGGAGACATATTTTCAAGGGTCATGTTTGGATCAAAGTAATCAATCAATCAATTTTAATTTATTTATGTATTTTTTTTCATTTATGATTACTTATGTTATTGATTCATTTATTTATTTACATATGTAATTAATTTATTTTATTTTTTTTAGTATTACTTATTTTATTATTTATTTTTTATTCATTATTATATATCTTATTTAATTCGTTTATTATTAATAATAATAATATTTATTTATTTTTTTTCTATAACAATTGGGTTTAATAAATGGCTTTTGCTTTTAACACGACTCCGTTATAATTTGTGACACACATGCACTATGAATGTCACTCCGGCCGTTGAACGCTGGTCGGCGCTGTTGGCCTTTTTTTTTTTTTTTTTTTTAAATAAAGTTTTTCAATTCAAACAAAATGGCGGCGCCCTGTGTTCCAGCCGTGTTGTTGGACTGTTGATGTGAACGGAGCACGGGTTTATGAAAAGAAAAGAACCTTTGCTGTATTAAATATCAGGTAAAGTAACTTAATGTGACTCGTGTTTGTCCGGTCCGTTGTTGACAGCTGTAATATTGACGCAGTTATTAACAGTTGACGGTTTTAACGAACTTTTTAGCCTGTCAAGTAGCATGTCATGACTTGTGTTTTTTTTACCTGTTTAGACAAATACTCATTAAACTCTGATTAAAATATTGCACGGAATCATCAATCACGGCCAAAACAATGCCACAATATTATTTAAGTTCTAAAATATAACTAATTCTTCATGTTATTGATTGTTATCATTATTCGTGCCCACAGCCAGGGTTACAGATATACCTGTTTCAAGAAATACCTGAAATAAAAGTTGACGGTTATGACACCGTGTGTATTTGCTTATCTACGATACTAGGTAACAAATGTAACCGGATGTTGAAGCTCCCCTTTATTTAAGTTATTTTCTGAGGTGAAGACTTTTTACACATACCTCTATTAACAAAATGGTTATAACTTTCAATTATAGCAATAAAACATTTGTTCAACCAACAACAACCCCTCTGTTTACACATCTTAAGGGTCAGTCTCACTGCAATAATGTAATTTTTATAACACCGTGATATTTTCCACGATATTTTCTGGTACGGTTGTACAGTGAAAATCAACTGAAACCTTGTTATTATTGGACTCAGAATGAGATTCAATACTTTATTGAGCCCGAGAGGACATTATGATTCGTTACAGTCGCTCCGATGTAAAGAATAGAGAATTAAAAGAAGTAAGAATAAGAGTATGAAATAGAGGTACCTAAATATAACGCAATAAAATAGAAATGAAACTCATACTTAAGATATTAAAATATTAAAAATAAACTATATCGTCACTGCTGAGGCTGTAAGTGTGGAAACTGAACTACAGTGTATAAAACAAGAAGAATAGAATAATATTAAACATAAGAAATATATACAGTTACACTTATATTTGATTTTCTCCACATCGCCCAACCCTTATCCTAATTCCTTATCTTAATCCACACACAAACAGTTTTGATAAGGATCCCTTAAATTTGGTCAGTAAAGAGTTGTGACGAAGAGATTATTTGTAAAGTTTGCCTTTTTTTTCCTCGTCTGTATTGAGTCCTGCTTCCAATTATGTACTTACCCTATTTTTAATGTGTTGTATTTTTTATTAATTATTGTTTTTAAATTGGGCTATTTTACACATCTTTACTGTGGAAGAAGTATTCCGATCCTTTACTTAAATTAAAGTAGCAATACTACGATGTGAAAATACTCTGTTACAACTAAAAGTCCTGCATTAACATTTTTATTGAAGTAAAAGTAAAGTATTAGCATTAAAATATTCCTTAAGTACCAAAAGTTAATGTATTCATTATGCAGAATGGCCCATTTCATAATCATATATATGGTATCATTGAATTCTAATTAATGATGCATTAATGTGTTTAGCACTTTTGTGTTGCAGCTGGTAAAAATGGGGCCGTTTTTATAGACTGCTGGGTATTTTAACCCACACTTAATAAATCATTATCTATTAGTTAAGTTATATTTTGTATTAAGAATCTGAATCTGCAAAAGTAACTAAGTTGAATAGATGTAGTGGAGTAAAAAGTTGAATATTTGCCTACAAAATGTAGTGAAGTAAAAGTATAAAGTAGCATAAAATTGAAATACTTAACTAAGGTACAAGTACCTCATAACTGTACTTAAGCACATTACTTGAGTAATGTTTTCTTGTTGTCATTTCAGAGGAAGAATGCCTGCTGCAGGAAAGTCAGCTAAAAAGGAAATCAAAAAGCCCCCCAAGACGTCCTTCACATCACCGTTTCCTCCACAATGGGGTACGATTCCTCAAGAAGACATGCACTTCATCCTGAAAACCCTGAAGGACACGCTGGTGTCTGTGGGTCTTAAGAAGAAAGAGGTGAAAGTGTTTCGGCCATGGAGGAAAAAGAAGGACAAGAAACCTGCTGCCACGTCAGAATCAGAGCCTGTTCCCCAGGTGAGCCAGGAAGGACAGGCGCAGGATTCTCCCAAAACCGGCTGGACAGACGTGGCAGTGAGGAAACAACTGGCCATTGGCATCAACGAGGTCACCAAAGCTCTGGAGAGGAACGAGCTCAAACTGCTGCTTGTGTGCAAGTCTGTCATGCCCAAACACATGACGAATCACCTGATAGCACTGAGCGTTACGAGAGGCGTGCCGGCCTGCCAGGTGCCTCGGCTGAGCCAGAGCGTGTCGGAGCCGCTGGGGCTGAAGAGTGTCCTCGCGCTGGGATTCAGACAGTGTGCCTCCAAAGACGACGAGGTGTTCACTGACACTGTGGACGCCATCACACCCAAAGTGCCTCCAGTGGATGTTGCATGGCTAAAAGGTGCAGCACCCAGTGTGACACCTGAAGACCCTGCTGACATGGAAGAGGAAGAGGAAGATGGCAAGAAGAGGAAGGGCCAGAAAAGGAAACTTGAGAGTGAATCTGACCAGGTCACAGAGTCGACGTCCTCCTGCACTCTGCAACCTCTCAAAGTGAAAAGAATAGTTGCTAACCCTGCAAAGAAAAGAAAAATAAAGGCTAAGTCACAGACAGTCTAATTAACAGAGACTGCCTAAAGAAAGAAAAGGACCATTCCTATGTTTTTGCATGTTTTAGCCCACCAGTTTCTGATGTTGACCTCTTAAAACGAGGCGGAGGACATGAGAGCAGTTTTGTCTCCTCAGATTGTTTCATTTTAAGGATTTTTAGAGGCCTGAGAGTTGAGAATGTTCAGTATTTCACCTCCTGACCATTAACTTGGGATCCACTGTTTTAGTTCATTCACTTACACTTTTGTCAATGCATTTTTCCTACGTATTAGGCAGCCATTGACTTTCAGTTGTGTTTGCACGGACTTGAAATGTGCTTGAGAAAGATACTTAATTTGTGACACTGAACTAGAGCTGCAGTACTCAATTGATTAGTCGATTGACAGAGGATTTTTTGGTTTCAGCTTCTTCAGTGTGACAAACCTCTGCTTTTCTTTTTAAAGTTTATTGAAAGTCATTTGGGTTTTTGGATTATTGATTATAAAAAAAACAAGTATTTGTAAGATGTGACCATGGGGATATTTCACAAAGTCTGTCATTTCATAGACATAATAAGAAAGCAATCTGCAGATTAATAGATAATGACGAGAATTGTGGTTGCAGCCCTACATTTAATGTCAGCTTTTTTTGTCCATTGTCAGTATTTCATTGTAAAGAAATTGACTTTCTTTCAAAGTCAACAATTCATAAAACAGAAAAAATATGAATTAAATTCTGTCAAACACAGAAGCAGACATCATTTGTTGAAATGGGCAGCCTTTTTAAATAAATTTAGTTTCTGTTCTCATTCTCTGTTGAAATGAATGCAAACCAGTGGCTGCAGTAGAGGTAAAAAAGTGTGGTGCGGTTTGGGGACTGGGCTGCAGTTTACATGACTCGGAATAACTTTAAAGGACCCTGGTATGATCCTTTAAACCGGTGGTTCCCAACTGGTTCCCAACTGGTTCAGCCACAGGGTCCAGATTTCTCCTTAGTCATCAGTTCAAGGTCCACACAGTTGAATTTATTCAGTGTCACAACTGCCATTGGCCATGTCATCGAGCTAGTTTGCTGTCTCTGTCAAGTAGCTTTTCCTTAGTCACTCACTCTACAACAGGAAATCAGACTTCAAAACAAAAGCTTTGCGCTGGAAATTCACTGTACTTCACAATAAAGTGTGTTTTTTGCAAACAAGTCACTTGCAATCCATTCAGAGTGGACCATCCACCCATCAGTAGAGAACCACTGCTTTAAGTTGATTTTATTTTGTCAGTTATATTTTTAAGGCTGCAACCAAGGATTATTTTCACAATTAACTGATGAATCAACTAATCGTTTAGTCTATAAAATGTCAAAAAATTGTCTCTAAGTGCTCATCACAATTTCCCAGAGCCCAAAGTGATGTCTTCAGACTGCTTCTTCTGTCCAAACCAACAGTCCGAAACCCAAAGATTCATGTACAATCATAAAAAAATAAAGAAAAGCAGCTATTTCTCATGTCTAAGAAGCTGGAACCAGCAGATGTGACATTTTTGCTTG